CACCCCCACAGCCCATCTCTGCCCGCTCTGGACTGGCAGCTGCCGTCCAGCTCCGGTCCATACAGCCTGCAGATCGAGGTCCAGCCCAAGTCCCACCACCGAGCCCACTACGAGACCGAGGGCAGCCGGGGGGCCGTCAAGGCCCTGGCAGGAGGACACCCCGTTGTTCAGGTAGGCCACGCCCACCTGGCTTTGATTAGTAGGCGCAAATAAAGAAGTACAGGTTTTTATTTTCTGTTTTGTTCTTTTTAAGTGTTTGTTCTTCTTAGCTGTTTGTTCGTTTCAGCTATTGTTTTGTTTTTAGCTACTATTTTGTTCTTTTCAGCTACTGTTTGTTCTTTTCAGCTACTGTTTGTTCTTTTCAGCTACTGTTTGTTCTTTTCAGCTACTGTTTGTTCTTTTCAGCTACTGTTTGTTCTTTTCAGGTAGTTTTTTTTAGCTATTGTTCTTTTTAGCTTCTATTTCTTTTCCTTCAGTTTTGCCAAAGTGCTCATTGGAGGCGTACTATCGGGTCAGTGTTTCTGTCTCCCTCTCATTAATTTGTGGGTCAGGGAGTGAGAGACAGGGATGTGTGGTTGCCATGGTGACCACACTGAGCCACCAGCAGCAGATTTCTGCAGAAATAGTTCAGGTTTTATTAATAAATCTGTTTTCAGGAATAGATTAATTTTTTCTTTCTGTTGTTTCCTTCGAGAGTGAAACAGTCCAGACTTTCAAAATAAAGTGGTCCTCTCAGATCCAGACCTGGTGTTGGACCCATCAGACCCACACCTGGTGGACCCATCAGACCCAGCCTCCCTCCTGGTTTTCAGCTCATGTTGTAGGTGTGCTGTTATGCGAGCCGTCCGCTCTGCCACTTCCTGTCCAGACGAGGATGACTCAGACTTTTCCATGACGTCCAGCAGACGTGGCCGGTAAACGCTGAGTCATGATCTGTGACCACAGTGAGCTGCTGCTGCTGGAGTCTGAGGAACGTCTGCAGATGTTTTTATAATAAACCCATCTGGTCGCCCCCAAACATTACCTCAGGCTCTGAGTAAATAAAGGTCTGAGGAGCTGAAACCTTAAGTCTGGGTCCAGTTTCAGACCTGGTCCCCCCTCTGAGCCCACTTCACCCACACAGGAAGTGACTAATTTTAACACCAAAAACAGCTCCGATATGATCCCGTCTTCATTTCTACCTCCAGCTGATGTGAAGCTGTGAGGAGGATCTCCTCTCTGAACTCCATGACCAGGATCTGGTGTCATGGTTACACCGTGCCCCCTGGGACCCCCGTATGACATCATCACCATGATTAAATAACAGTTCAGTGACTCCGCTACTCACAACCTGTCACCACTTACTGCACTTTATTCACGAGAGGAGGTTCTACAGGTTCTACAGGTCCCAAAGGTTCTACAGGTTCTGCTGGTTCTGGTTCTACAGGTTCTGCTGGTTCTGGTTCTACAGGTTCTGCTGGTTCTGCTGGTCCAATCATCCATGAAACTTTGACCCTGTTGGCCTTTAAAGATAAAAATAGACTGAACTCCATCCAAAAGCGTTTTTTGTGCTTTTAATTTGAAAGGTTACACAGAAGGATTCCGGTCACTTTCTGCAAAACTGTAAAGATGTATGAACAGATTTCACAATAAAAGCACCAGAGAGCTCAGAGAAAACAGGAATAGTTGTTAGTATGTGGTACAAAGTGTAAAATACAATGACAACTTTTTCCACTAACACTTTCTGGTTATTTAGCTCACTGTTCTTACATGCTGCTAATTTTTACTAAATGTTAAATTTATGTTATGTCGAAAAGTCCTAAACCTTAATGTGAAAATAAATGTAAATACTTAAGATTACTTTGAAAATTTTCAGAATGAAATGCAGCCAATGCTGTTGGTGCTTGGCTTTTGTTATGACATCATCATCCTGAGACACAAGCAATGGCTAACACTGCTAACGTTGCCGACACTGCAGACGCTGCTCATGCTGCGAACGCTGCCATAGATGGCATTTTAAATTTAAATTTACAGTTTTTTTTAACTGAAAACCACATTGATGGTACCTGTGGTCCGACAGTTTAAAGTGCAGCTCAAACACCAGCCGGGAGATGGATGTCATGTAGGGAAGCGCTAACAGTGTAGCAGTGTTATCACCATTAGCAGTGTTAGAAGTGTTAGCACTGTAAGCATCATTAGCAGTGTTAGTAGTGTTAACAGTGTTAATGGTGTAAGAGCATTAGCAGTGTTAGCATCATTAGCAGTGTTAGTGGTGTTAGCATCATTAGCAGTGTTAGTGGTGTTAGCATC